CTTTGAGCTCCGTCCAACGCATAACAGGTGGCAGCAGCTGCGATGAAATATTGACTGCTTGTGGAAATAACATCGACATGACGACTTTAACAGCTAATAGGTAAATATGATTAAGAAAATATTTTTATATAGTTATTAGATGATAAGTGATTTTGCGTGAACATTTTTAATGTTGTAAAATTATTTTTACATAGTTTACCATACAACTTAATTCATAACTTAAACCAAAGATGGCGATATTCTTCTTTCGTTGAAAAATAGAAAAGCAAATAAACTAAGTATGTAAGCAAAGCAAAGAAAATAAAATAAGTAAAATACTTTAACTATGTTCATCACAAATTACGTTTATGAAAAAAACTTAAGCTAGAGAGTACTTGATTTCATAAAAAATATAAAGGTGATTATTATACTAACAATATTGAAATAGTTAAAAAAAAAGTGCTTTTTAAAATGTAAGACATAAGAGAAACTCTTTATCAGTTACAAATTGAGGGCTAAATATGTCTTAGCAACAACAACTAGCTTTTTGAACTGTGAGGTTGGACATATACTAAAAATATATCTTAGAAATATAAGAATAGCTTCACTCGCCGCGATTTCTCAACGAGATGTATCACGTGACTTGCTCTACTCGTTAGGGATGACAGGTGATTAATAAAATTAGGGTTAGTTATTATCATTAAGAAATAAATTAAAATTATCTCCTTTTAAGAAGATTTTGAATACAGTTTCTTTTAATATCATAATAAGTAAAAATTAATATGAATACCTATTTAAAATTTGAAAAAACTTAGAGAAATTCATATTCTCAATCAGTAATCTATATTATTCATTTGTTATATATATATTGATTTGTCAGAAAATTTTAATGGTAATAATTATTATAGTGTAAATTGTTTGAATGAAGGAACAACCCTGTGCATCGACAGCTAATTCCCAATCTATAAATAGGTGTTCCAAGTTTATGTCTTCACGCATCATATTAAACGTACAGACGTCCACTGTGACCGTTGTAAGCTTGTGAACCGTCTATAGTAACAAGACATCAGAATGTCCACCACAGTTGCTATAGGGTATGTACGACGTCAATATAAAGGCGTGCAATGCGAGTTTGGAAATACAAAAAACATGGAAGTTGGTCTCCAAATTGTATGTTTGCCGTAAACAAGAAAGTATTTAGAATAGGGCTACTTAACGAATAGTATCTAAGGCTTTACTGATATATCAGTCTTTTGTAGAATTATTTCATTACCAATATTCATTTTTTTTAAATTTCCTTGTGATGCACGAATAGCTGTGGACTTATAAAATTGACGTTTCACTTGAAATAATCCCTTAAAAGAAATTTAATGTTTTTAAACTTGTTTTTATCTTGAGACCAATTTCTTCACCTAAACCTTGTACTTACACGGTAAGGTAATGTCTCATGCAGTAATTGAATTGTTTCACGGAAGAAATGGTTTGAAACTATCTTGGTGAAACTATGTGTCATATTATTATAAAACTACACTATCAAGTGAGGCAGAAAGAAGGCTATTATCATTTCTCTATATCGAGCATCAGTAATAATAATCATTGTGACAAGCCTTATTTTCAAAAAAGTAACGTCCAATGATATTTCCAGTTCGAAATTCGCAACAAACAGTAATATTTGTTTGACAATAACCGCAAATTTGTTTTTCAACGAATATATGTGGGCTGTTTAAACAAACAAATGTGAATTGTGGGATATTAACAATACATAAAAAGTGAAATTGTGCTTCACCGCTTGGGATGATTTCGATTGAAAAATCAGTATCCAATTGTCGATGTTTAGTAATCCATTCAGCTAACACCTTTTATCTGTGAATGATTATGAGGCTTCATTTGTTTTGTTAATGAATTTAGTAATCATGTAGACACAGATATTTAGTTTGTGTGGGCTGTAGCAATCGTCTTGGTATGTACAATATTTTTCCGAGATGCTTCATTGATATTCCTGGATTTTAAGTAACTTTTACGCGTTGCTACAATATTCACATTTGAAAGGAGAACTCTTGAACGACCAGTGTTTTAAGTATATACAAATCATTCTGATTTGAGTTTGTCCATCAATTTCTTAGCAGTTGATAAAATAAAAATACAATTCTGACCATATTTTTTATGTACGTGCCGCTCGAAGTGTGGCGAACTTTCATGATTTTAAAAATATAATTTTATAATGGAAATACATTATACTATCGTGAACCGCTCCATTTTTACAAACCCTACTCTCTTGTCAGTAAAATGGTTTTTTACGCCGCCAGCATTCTACAGCACAAATATGTATGTAGTAGCGTATTTAAATCCTGCTTTAATTTTGGAAGACTATGACTTTAAAGCTTGTGATAAATATAATTTATATCTCTTTGTGTTTATATTGGAAATATTTGAAATATATATATAGTTTTGTTATTTTTTTGATATATACTTAGAAATTTAAATGTACTTAGAAAGATACTTTTATTCCATGATATAATCATTTCTATGCGCTTGTGTCTTTATATAAGATTCAAAAATGTATTCACACCACTCGAGTCAAATTTATTTGGAATAAAATAATTGTTGACTAGATTTATAAATTTATTTAGTTCATTAATTTGTACCTAAATATTTATGCAATGTAAATATGACAAAATAATTTAATATTTAATAGAATAATACAAAAGCGTAGAACATAACATATGGTATGAAACAATTTTGATATGTACTATTATTTTTTTTTTTCAAATATAAAACATAAATAGCCATAACAGCGTGTCTTCTTCTTCTTCTTCCTTGCCTCTTTCCATTATATGGGGTAGGCTCGCCTCGTTCTAATGCGCTAAGACGTCCTGTCTTGGGTTGTCACTTTGCTGAGCTTAGCGTTTTCCAAGTCACGGGATATTGTTGACCACCTTGTATTTTGTGGTCGGCCTCTAGTTTTTCTAGCATCAGGTAGAGCCAGGGCTTGTCGCACCACATGGTCCTCTGGACGTCTCATTACGTGTCCGTACCATCTCAGTCGACTCTCAGTGAGTTTATCTGTGATGGGCGTAACATGGCAACTTCCTAGGATGTGTTCATGTCACAATTTCTTTCAAATTTTCATAATTCTGGTTTTGAGGATTAATAATAATAATAATAATAAAAATAAAAATATTTATTGGTCAAAGTCGCACTACAACACAATAAGAATCTTATTCACAAATAAAAACATTAAAAAAAAGTACAATAAATAAAATTACAGAAAAAAAAATATTATAATAAAAAAAAAGGAAAAAAAAAAGAAAATGTGCTGCAGTGCAACAATACCAAATGGAGATTCGCTCAGTAGAAGAAGAAGCATCAATGATGTTTCTAAACTGATTTTCAGCGGTCTCCATAAGGTATGCGCTGACAGCTGTGACAAAATAGTAATAATAAAAAAAATACCAAGTAAATCTAACCACAAAAAAAAAAACAATCTTAAAAAAACTTCTTAAAATAAAATAACGAAAGTAAAAAAATATAATAATAAGAAACAGTCTTAGCGGAATGCTGAGTGAGCGAGATATCTACATATGTACATGAGATGGAAAGCAAACGGCAAACGGTATTGTCGTTAATTTTAGAGAGTAAAAAATATATTAACCTAACAATAACAATGAAAATAAAGTGCGATGGCAACTCCGTTACGCGTCGTACCCTTGCCATGGTAAATAAGTTGATATCCTAACCCTATATCCCTAGACTTGGAACCCTTCCACTTATATCTTGTAAATAGCATGCAGGTTGCAATAGTAAAAACGTCGAGGTCACAAGATCACAAGGTCACGGATACCAGTCACCATAGCCAGTACCAGTAAGGGGAAAAGTTCAATGACAAAAAAGGAAAATATTACTAACGCTAATGGAGCTATTCCCAGGGCGAAGAGAATAGAGCGAAAGACCTCAGGGAAACATAATAAAGATGAAGTTACGAACCCTAATTCCCATGGTTCGATGAAGAAGAGGCCTGCTCCTCTCCCCCTTTTCCTCAAGGCCTGTGCTGCAGGCAGCACTCCACCGGCATCAGCGAGAGGAGATGCAGCGGCGACTTCAATACCGGAAGAACTTTTCAAGTGACCCAGTACGAACGCAGAGTATTAAGGCGTTGGTGATAAAACCGCAGGTTGCAACAGTAAAAACGTCGAGGTCACAAGATCACAAGGTCACGTATACCAGTCACCATAGCCAGTAGTACCAGTAAGGGAAAAGTTTTAATGACAAAAAAGGAAAATATTACCAACGCTAATGGAGCTATTCCCAGGGCGAAGAGAATAGAGCGAAAGACCTCAGGGAAACATAATAAAGATGAAGTTACGAACCCTAATTCCCATGGTTCGATGAAGAAGAGGCCTGCTCCTCTCCCCCTTTTCCTCAAGGCCTGTGCTGCAGGCAGCACTCCACCGGCATCAGCGAGAGGAGATGCAGCGGCGACTTCAATACCGGAAGAACTTTTCAAGTGACCCAGTACGAACGCAGAGTATTAAGGCGTTGGTGATAAAACCGCAGGTTGCAACAGTAAAAACGTCGAGGTCACAAGATCACAAGGTCACGTATACCAGTCACCATAGCCAGTACCAGTAAGGGGAAAAGTTTAATGACAAAAAAGGAAAATATTACCAACGCTAATGGAGCTATTCCCAGGGCGAAGAGAATAGAGCGAAAGACCTCAGGGAAACATAATAAAGATGAAGTTACGAACCCTAATTCCCATGGTTCGATGAAGAAGAGGCCTGCTCCTCTCCCCCTTTTCCTCAAGGCCTGTGCTGCAGGCAGCACTCCACCGGCATCAGCGAGAGGAGATGCAGCGGCGACTTCAATACCGGAAGAACTTTTCAAGGACCCAGTACGAACGCAGAGTATTAAGGCGTTGGTGATAAAACCGCAGGTTGCAACAGTAAAAACGTCGAGGTCACAAGATCACAAGGTCACGTATACCAGTCACCATAGCCAGTACCAGTAAGGGGAAAAGTTTAATGACAAAAAAGGAAAATATTACCAACGCTAATGGAGCTATTCCCAGGGCGAAGAGAATAGAGCGAAAGACCTCAGGGAAACATAATAAAGATGAAGTTACGAACCCTAATTCCCATGGTTCGATGAAGAAGAGGCCTGCTCCTCTCCCCCTTTTCCTCAAGGCCTGTGCTGCAGGCAGCACTCCACCGGCATCAGCGAGAGGAGATGCAGCGGCGACTTCAATACCGGAAGAACTTTTCAAGGACCCAGTACGAACGCAGAGTATTAAGGCGTTGGTGATAAAACCGCAGGTTGCAACAGTAAAAACGTCGAGGTCACAAGATCACAAGGTCACGAATACCAGTCACCATAGCCAGTACCAGTAAGGGGAAAAGTTCAATGACAAAAAAGGAAAATATTACCAACGCTTATGGAGCTATTCCCAGGGCGAAGAGAATAGAGCGAAAGACCTCAGGGAAACAATAAAGATGAAGTTACGAACCCTAATTCCCATGGTTCGATGAAGAAGAGGCCTGCTCCTCCTCCTCCCCCCCCCCCTCTTCCTCAAGGCCTGTGCTACATACATACAGTGTACATACAGTGCTACATACAGTGTAGTAGTAATAACCGTTACGCAGGTATATTGGTACCTCTTCTTACACAATTGGCATTTTAAGATTTTATTTAATAATAATGATAATTATTATTATTATTTGCTCTGAATGTAGGTACAGAATATAGGTGTACAAATAGATTTTAGTATAAGTTCCAGGTACATTCTACCATAAGATATGCAAATATTAGGTTTAAATTATAAATTAAAATTAACTACTCAATTAAAATAAGAAATTAAATTAACCATGCAATTATAATTAAAAATTCATATTAAATGTTTTACAGATGAAAATTAACAATTCAATAAAATAACAAGGTCAAATCGACAATACTCGTACAATTGAAATTATAAATTAAACTTAACTACATAATCAAAATTAACTATACAATTATATTATATTTTCTATGATTTGTGATACATTGATAGATAGATAGATAGATGATTAAGTTATATATTTTATACATTTTTTATTCAGCAATTTCTTACAAAATAATATCCATTAGATAATCATTTACGGAGTAATAACACTTGTTAACTAGTAAAGAAAACAAAAGTTTTTTAAATTTTACATAAGTTAAATCTTTTATTTTATTATATATATACATAATATATTCGAATTTGTTAGGCGGTTACAACAGTCGAACCTATTTTATTAAGTGGATTTTTTACTTGATCGGCCATAGTTTATTTTTATAGTTGTACCGAAGAGAAAAAAAAAGAAAAAAAGAAGAAAATAAAAGAAAAATAAATAATAATAATAAAAATAATAATAAAAAAATTAATAAAATAAAATAAAAAAATTATAATAAATAAAATAAAATCAAAAAATATCTAAAAACATAGGTTTGATGAGGCGCGATCCGTGATGTATCATATGTGAACTCTTTGCTTCATACCAAGACGCCAGCGTTTGCTGACTATATTGTGTCAAATAGTTACTCATATATTGGCTGTTATGCGAATTGATAAGAATGTCTTTTGTTTGTTGCTTTTCAATAATATTATTTTATTTTTACACTACCGGCACTTAATCACTATTAAGGAAGCTTGAAATTTTATAAATTTATTGCTTCACTGTAGCTGTTCGTTACTGTGTGTTATTGTTTATATGTTTTATTGCACTTCACAAATACATACAGTTAGTGATTATATACAGTCACTTATTTTGATTTGGTATCACCAGATCTTGAGTTCAGTTATAAGTTTTCACTTTTATCACTAATTTATCGATAATTTGTGTAATTGATGACGTGACAACATTTACCACAGAGTGTCCTTTTGCAATTTACACATTTAGTTAGACTATCACAACTTTTTCCACTTTTAAATAATTTAAATAGATTTTTTTAGCGAGAGCAAGTCTATCCGTGACGTATGACTTCTTCATCGAACCATGGGAATTAGGGTTCGTAATTTACTATGTTTCTCTGAATTCTTTCGCTCTATTCTCTTCGCCCTGGGAATAGCTCCATTGGCATTAGTAATATTTTCCTTTTTTGCCATTGAACTCTTCCCCTTACTGGTACTGGCTATGGTGGTTGGTATACGTGACCTTGTGATCTTGTGACCTCGACGTTTTTACTGTTGCAACCTGCGGTTTTGCCACCGACGCCTTAATATTCTGCGTTCGTACTGGGTCACTTGAAAAGTTCTTCCGTTACTGAAGTCGCCGCTGCATCTCCTCTCGCTGATTCCGGTGGAGTGTTGCCTGCAGCACAGGCCTTGAGGAAGAGGGGGGGAGGAGCAGGCCTCTTCTTCATCGAACCATGGGAATTAGAGTTCGTAACTTCATCTTTACTATGTTTCCCTGAGGTCTTTCGCTCTATTCTCTTCGCCCTGAGAATAGCTCCATTAGCGTTAGTAATATTTTCCTTTTTTGCCATTGAACTCTTCCCCTTACTGGAACTGGCTATGGCGATTGGTATACGTGACCTTGTGATCTTGTGACCTCGACGTTTTTATTGTTGCAACCTGCGGTTTTGGCACCGACGTGTCTAATAAACCTATGGAGATGTTAATGTTCGTTACGTTGGTTTAATAAAGGTCGGCGACACTATTTAGAATGTAATTGCACACAGAAGAAAGTCACAAGACTGACACAGAAGGTTAAAGTTCATACAGTTCGGAAGGAGAAAACTAATAATTAAACTATCAATACACACGAAATATAATAATAAAGAATTAAACATGTATTCGATATCGAAGCGCAAGGTGGAATGTTTTAAGTTCGTTATTCGCATCTAGTTTTTAAAATCTAACGCAGTAGCGGGTAGACATGGAAATCTTATCATATAGGTTTAGGTCTAGGCTAAGGCGTTACCGGGATAGTGAGGGTACGCTCCTTGAATCGGTTTCGCTAGTTCGATTCCTAGTTTTCTATCGGTGGCTTCGACTCGACGCGTGTCCTGCCGGCCGGACGCTGGCAAGGTCGCACAAGGTCGGGGTCCGAAGCCAACACGATGAATTTAACTTCAGGGGTAATTCCTGAAATGCCAGAAACCAACACGTGTTACGGCATTTATTACATTTATCTAAAGCGCAATAAGCCAATAGCAATAGCTTAGCAGATAAAAAGGCATCTAAGAGATAAAGTAATTAAAAAAAACTACGCAATTATTTAAAGATATTAAAATGATTTGTTGGTCATGGTTGAGGCAAATTTAAATTTAATCAGAAACGGTTACATAAACCACTGGCTATTAATAAAAATATAGGGGGTATTTCAATATAATATAACAAAGAAATTATGACTATTAATTTTTAACATACTAAACTGCACTAAAAATTGTTTTTACATATGTATTTATAAGGGAATCTACAACAAATATTTATTCTACCATTAAGACGTATATATACATAATTAATATCAACAAGGCGAAGCATTAGTTAGGCCAAAGCATAATAAGTTAACTAGAACACTTATAATTAAATTTTAAAATGCACAACTTACCCAGTACGGGAACAAATAACACTTACTAATGTATAATAGAATTTAATTTTCTTAAAACCAGATTATAATAATTAATATTATATTTAACTAAGACCGGAACACGGTCCTTAGCGACAAGATACACGTAAGAACGTAGGTATACTAATAGTATTGCAGCGACGAGTGTGCGCTTGCGGCCCGACCCGTCTTTTTTAAACCCGAGAATTGTAAAGGATATGTATACGTCTATAACTATACCTTCGATTTATCTAATACGGTAGTCAGTGAGGACAGTTTGTTTGTATATAAATTTTATTATTTTTTATAACTATATATTTTTTAATGTAGTAAATATAGTTTATTAAATTTACATACGAATATATTATAAAATAATATGTTACACCCTCCAGAGGCCGTGTCTAGTGACGATAAAAGTCGGGGAATTGTACTCTCCGGCCAGAACGTGTTGTTCTGACTGGAGGTGGATGTTCTTGACTAGGACTGTCTGGTTGGTGAGAGTTGTTAGTCAGTATGTAGGCGGGTTTAAGTCTGTCTATGGAGACTATGGATTCCTTCCCTTTAATACGAATTTTAAAAGATTGTGCCTTTCGTTCTATGACCTCATGTTTACAGATATTTGTAAACAAAGACTTTTTGCTTGTTATGGTGTGAAATGGGAACAGGTTGTAAGTTTTCAGCGAATGACCGTATGCGAGCTGAAAAGTCCGTGATATCCGTTGGTTGGAGTCGACTTGCAACTGCCTGTATTTTATCATGACCCATTCGCCACACTTACACAGCTCCGTGCGCGCGCCACAGTATCGCTCGTGAGCGGGAAGCTCACGGCGACGAAGCTCTAGTGTACAAAATCTGCAAGGCTGCATGGTCCTGCAAGTCTCCTCTATAACTTTCTAGTATTATTTTTCAGGCCAGACATCGGAAAATCAATTATGGCAAACCTTAACTAAGCTAATCTTCACTTCTATTCTTCACAAGAAAATCCAAGACTCAGAAAGGCCATAACAGCGTTTGATCTAAACTTAACCTACTTCGACATATATATTGAGTCTATTTTGGACAAGCGCCCTCTATTGGCGAGTTGCCGAGTTGCTGAGTTGCTCCGGCATTATGGGTTTACTCACGATCTATGTTTGTAAACAAAGAGGTCCAAAGTGCAATACATACTGACGTTCGTTAAAATAAATCTTATTAAACATCTCATTATAATTCATCACCATTACCATATTGTTTTATTGGATTAACTTAGAAAAAATAAATAAAAAACTGTGATTTACTATATATGTTTTAGAGCCTCAAATATTGTGAAATCTCTTGCTAATCCATGTGTAAAATGCACACGACTTCAAAGCCATAGGTGTGTTCATAGTCACCCTTGACTCCCAGACCCGGGTCCCGGTCAATGCTTCTTGATTACGCAGACAATGAGGATGTCACGTGACATCCCAAAGCTCACGACAAAAGACTAACAAGCTATTGTTTATTTTCAACGCTTCAATGAATATCCCACATCACCTTTGTGCTTAGAAAGATAATTTGGAAAGGTGTGTTGTTATACATTAATGTTTTATTATTCTGTTCTACAATCTATGGTTGATATACGTCTTGTAATAACTGTATGTAGTTGTAAGTAGTTTTGACAACATCATTAAAATTTAAAACATGCTTTTTTTATTATGAGTATATTTTGAATTCCAACATTTTTAAGCTGCTTGTGTTTGATAATAAAAATAAACAAATGAACTTAAAGGATAACTACACTCTACAAGCGTATCGTATTCTGTGTTTATTTGTACATGATGATACATGTTTGTTTTTGATACAAAAATAGAAACCTATTAGTAAATTTTTGAACTTATTTCTAGTCTAAGTAGAACTTTGCTATGCGACTAGCAAAAACCCAGTGGAATGTTCCAAATAGCTTTTTACTTTCCCTAAATAATAACGAAATCTTTAAAGTTTTCCATAATATTCGTAGCATTTCATAACATAAACTAACAGCTTTCATATTATTTATGATCGGGATGTTATTTTAGAATGGTTGTTAAAGCATCTCAATAAAAAACGACATGGATTTATGAAAATGATTTTGGAACTTCATAATATTTACTCCTTCTCATATTTAGCATTACCATTTTATCAAAGACCACGTTATTTTAAAATCTTGAGGATATTCCGTTTTCATTTTCACATTAACTAAGAATTATATATAAACAATTTAATAATTAAAAACTTTGACAAGGCAAAACATTCCACAATTCCAGTGTGAATGAAGCTGTAGCAAAAAAAGATCTTCGAGAAAAGTTATTGCAATAAATTTACTAATTAATTAACGCCACCATTACTTTTGATTCACTACACTTCAAGTTTGAGCTATGTGACTTCTTTTTATTTTAAAATCGTTTTACGTTTATTTTTACTAAATTTTGCTTATCAGTATTATGTATCTAAAAAAGAATACCATGCATGTCCACTGTCTTCATGATAGAACCTACATTAATAGTTCTAAAATTAAATTTTAAACTGTTTTCTAGCTTAAATACTATTTTTCAAGTTTCAAACCCAAAAAAAAAATATATTTTTAGGAGGAAGGCCGTCAAAGTGTTCCTCCAAAATATTTATTAAATTAATTGATACCAATGTTCAGAAAGTGAGAGAATTCCCTGTTGTCAAGATCATTTTTGATTTAGAATTCAGTGAGTTCTTGTGGGTGAACAACCGTGGTTACAATGGGTCTACTTTCCTTAGCGGGATGCTCCAAGTATGGTTCTGTGGACGAACGCCTAACGTGAACTTGAACTGGCCATATAAATAAATGTCATTATTACGTATTTTGTCCCTTTTATATTGTCTACTTGTTTATTCAAACATAATTTTTGTTGTTATTTTCTATTCAGTCAAGTTAATTATCTCCATTTCAGTTAATTCTAATTTCCATTAGAGATATTAGAAACGTCGTTGTGCCTTAAATCTTAAGAGAACTGGTAAAATAAGAAAGTTTAATAATTACGTTGACATATTATGTATAATAATTTATCTACGAAATACTTTAAATGATTGGAGTTTTTTTAAGATCTTATGTTTTATTACTTTTGGTATACAAATGGCAAAAGTTTGTTGTCTGATTTAATTTGGAAAGAACTTTTATTTATCAGTGAGGGTATTTCTCTGAAAGCTTCTTACAATAGAGATGTACGGGCTGATTAGTTTTGTAACTTTGGTAAGAGTTTTTTCAGTTTTTAGAAACGTTGTTTTTACGAGGGGACTTACATTTGAAAACAAAATGAAAGAGTGGAGAAAATTGATCCGATCCCTTAAAAAATCTAATTATATATTGTGTAATACATTTTGAACAACTTCATTTTTTTATATTCAAATAAAATTAATCGTATTTAGGTTTTGAATTTGCTTAAAGTTGATTTCGTTAGAATTGGTATAAATTCATTTGTATAAAAAAAGATACATTCCGTTGTAAACTGTTGCTGTCTCAAAATCGTTTCCTCTTCCAAGCGATAACTCGAGACAAGTTTCGAGTTTCTTGGGGCGTTTTGTGAAAAGTTTTTATCGAGGGTAGATTAGGCAGCAGCTGATATTGAAGTAGCTAATAGGGTGTTAACGTCGAGGATGCTTGACAATCACTCATAAATACTTCCTAAGGCGATATGAGAGGTTTTTTATGTTTACCGAGTGTTGGATGACAGATATGTAAATATTTGTGATGAGGATCCATGTCTCCTTATTTAGTTCTTAGAATGATGAATGAATGGGAATAACACTGAAAATATGAGATAAATAATATGAGAAGTCGTGCCACAGAAAATTAAATGACAATATACTTTTTTTCTTATTTATTTTCATTAATTGCGATGTTTAGAATCGAGAAGAATATCGAAATAACAAAACAATGAATTACAGAGTATTTCGTGTAAAGAAATATACGCAGATTAGTAGAATATACGCAGAACAATTAAATTTTGTTATATGAATTGTCAAATGTTTGCGCAAACCAGCTGGTGGCATCGTTTGTTTACGTTTGAACGCTTAACGTCGATCAATTCTGTCAACACTACGGAAGCGTGTCCAAAGTCGAGTGAATTGTATATAGTAGTTTGCAAACGGTCAATGCACCCGAATATTTAATATGACTTTAATGTCTAGCCTCATATGTAGTATTATTCTCCTATTAAGAGTATTCTTAATAAAATTAATTAATTAAATTACTGCTATAGTTTTGATAGCTTTTGTTTTTAATATATAGATGGTAATGATAAATATGTTCAATACAGAAAAAATATATAATACTACAGTAAAGTATGAGAGACGTAATATGCATTCAAGTAAAAAAGGTTTGCATATACATATATTGTGACGTAAGATCAACAAATGTACAGCCATTCCTACAGTTCTCTGATTTCAACTCCGACATATTTTTTTTCAAACAGACTGCAAATACGACATCCACACGTTATTCTGCCTCAGTTTCTTTTTTCTTTGCCGTTGGTTTTGTGATTTGTTGCTCTCAGATGCATTTATAATAAAACGCAATTATTTTGTGATTATTTGGAAGTTGTCATTCACTAGAATTAAATTTATGAAAGTACTATTGTATTTAAATAAAATTAATTTTTAAAAACAAAGTTTAAAACTATTCATATTAAGTATGGGTAGGTTAAGCACGGCTTTAATATTAAAAAGTCCTCCAAATTTAACAATGCAATCAATCACATATATATTGAATTTCAATAGGAAGTTTAAGTAACCCCGTCACCACCATTGGGGTCACGGTTCTTATTAAACTTCGCCCTTTATACCATCGTAAATAATAAGTTATGGGTTCAATGCTTCATTTTACCCCGTTCTTTTGAAGTAAAGATGGATACCTATATAAAAATCGCTGAGTAATTAAATAAGCAACATAAAAACAGGTTGTGCTCTTTCGCTGATTTAATCGTGCTATAAAGAGGATAACGACGACAATCCGTATTATGGATTTCAGCGAAATACTTATATTTATATGATATCAAATTTATATTTCACGTGTTTTTTTATTTTATTTGTTTACCGCGAACATATTTCGTTAACCCTTTTATCTGGACTGTCAGAAAATCTGATTCTTTATTTCAATTTTCGTTGTCTTTTGTTTTCTAATATATATACATAGAGAATGTACCAGTTATAAACCACTGGATATTACCATAAATTTTATCGCTCAATGAACTAATATTATATCAAATAAAATATTCAACAAAATTAACAAGCCAACAGTCTAGCGTCGATTGAAGCTATAAAAGCAAACATAATATTTATAAATGCGCAGTCATAGCCTGCAATAAATCTCAAGCTTTTTAAAAATAAAAGCTATTATGAATAGCTCTCGTAATTAATATTTTCTACACAATGCAATATTGCTATTCCTAGAATAAAGTCCGTCATGTTTATTTCAAGTCTATATTCATAATTTTAACTGAATCGTGAATTATTTTAATATTCTATTTATATTGTGATTGTTTTATTTACGATTTGTTTACGCCTTGATGGATTTTTTATTCATACATATGTTCTTTGGCTATTATAGTCAGACGCTTTATATTTGCATATACAGACATTAAAAAGAGTGTATTAATATATATACATAAATCAGTGATATAAAAATAAGAATGAGATACGTTTAGGACGTATAATATGTTATTATAATCAATGTATTCCTCATGTAATTTATTTTTAGTTAACTATAAATATGTATTAATTTGATAAGCTGGGAACTGTGACCTCATTGTTGTAATAAATGACTGGCCACGTCTAGATCCAGTCGAGTGTAGATGTTTGATAAGCCGTACCTAACTTCAGTAGGCAGCTCATAAAAGCT